TAATTGGACATTTCATAATTATGTCTATTGAAAGAATTATAAGCAGCTGTAAAAAAATTTATCCATATGTCTTTGTGCAAATATTTCTGTAGAATAAATTTCTAGAAGTGGAATTGATTGATAAGGGTTATGCAGATTTTATATTTTGATACATATTGGCAATTTGCTCCCTGGAAGGTTTGTACTAATTTATATTCCCATTGCTCCCACCCACAGTGGACAGACCAGAAAATATAAAACTAACTCTCTGTAACAGAAAACACAATCATCATGATGAACAAACTTTTTAAAAGACTGAAAGATTGATGGAAGTTACATAATTATTTTCATTCCCCATGTATTTCATTGTGTTGGTTTATTTAACCTAAATATCATTCCCTTTTTGGACGCTTGTGGTCCGCTCAACCCCCTAGCAATGTTTAATCCCAGAGGTTAGTTTTTTCCTGCTGATTTTTAAGTAAATATTTTGGGGAGGATGCTGTGAGAGATATATATATATATATATATATATATATACACATTTTTTAAAAATGTGTGGGGAAATAATTATATTTAAAGAAGAGTTGGCCACTGTATTTATTTTACCACAACTTCAAAAATAATTCAGTTTGTTGACACTTGCCAGCCATAAGGCAGAGTAAAGTGCGGAGGAGGTGATCCATGCTAGTAAGCTCATTTCCAGGTGGTAGTGGGTTGATTTTTACTAAGGCTGCATTGAAACCAAGGTGCCGAGGAGTTAGGAGGTGTTCTGTGGAAATGGAAAGGAGTGATCTATTCTGATGAACTGTGTTCTGCTTACTAGTTCCCTTTAAGAAAACATTTTTTTTTAATAGAAAACTTTATTAAAATCTTGGAAAACTTGGGTTATATTGGCACACATTGGAAAATACTCTTAAACATAGACGACAAAATTCCAGAGAAGAATAGGTAGGAAAACGCCTAGAACACCAGACCAGAGGCACCTGAGTTTCCAGCCTGACCACCTCAGGTGTGCTATCGAAGAAGCACAGGGCCACTCAGTGTACTAGAAATTTCCTTAATCAGCGTCTTCATCATCTTAATTGAGTGCTAAATGGATAGTGTATCCATCTCTTCGTTTATTGAAAAGAAAACCTTTTGAGTGCCTATTCTGTGTGCCAAAGACAATTCTCAGAGATATGGGACAAAAGTGAATGAGGGAGATATAAAAATGTCACCTGAAAATCCACTTTCATTTTTTTTTTTTAATTGAGAAACAGTAGTCATTGTGAACAAAAATAATTGGGGCGATTTACATAATTTAGATTGTAATCTTTTGGAATATTTACATATTTCATTGTGTTGCTGTGCCTTAATTTAGCCTAAACATCACCCCTTCCTTGATGGTAATGCTCCCCCACCACCATAGCACCCAGGCCCAGGTGTGCTGGGACACAGATCCTGGTTCTTACCTTATCTCGGTACCATTTTATGTTTTCTTTTTAACCCCCTCGGTGATTTGAATTCTGTTTTTTGTTTTGTTTTGTTTTAAGATTTTATTGGGGAATTGGGGGAGGGGAACAGACAAGTTGCTGTCGTTTTGTTCTTCAGTCTAGTTGTGGAGGACGTCGCTTCCCTGGCCCATGTTGGTATTATCATTGCGCTCTTCCCGGGTGAGGCAGATCGGTCACCAGCCTCTGGACGGCCGCTCACAGCGGCTCTTGGCAGCTCATGCCGGCTGCCGGCCACACACAGTTGCTTATGGCAGCTCACTGCAGCAGGGGCTGCAGCCTACGCCGTCGCTGGAACTCATGGCAGCCCAGCTCCAGGTCAAGCTGTTGTTCACCATCTTAGCTGTAGAGGGCGCAGTGTCACTGGCCCCCATGTGGGATCCGAACCGGGGTCCTGCTGCTCAGAGCTGGCATCCCAAGCCAGCTCTTAACCAACGCGCCACTCGGCGGGCCCTGAATTTTGTTTTTTAATGTTTAATTTTTAAAGAGAATTCTGATCTCTTGGAGCCAGATGGCATCAGCTCTGGAAATGTCCCCAAACTGAGTGCATGTGGGGAGGGGAGGAAATAAAGGTTTATAAATTCCTCTCAATTTCAGTAATCAGTTATGGCCACTCAAGAGCAGGCTGGATTACCTTTCTACTGTACAAACAAAATTGCCTTTTCCTAACCCCCTTCTGCCAAAGGCAACAAAAGATCTGCTCCAGTATGTCAGTTGATAGAATTGCCTTTTGTGCTAAGCTCCTTTCCCCCCAAACCTAAGAGTTTGTTTTGTTTTTTTTTTTCATTTTATTTTTCCCTTTGCTATTTTAGAAGTTATGTACTCTATTCGGATAGTGGTTACCCCAGAAATTTTAACATGTAGATTTAATTCAGTGAAGTTCAAAATTAATCAACAGTTTAACTCTGCTTCTAAATAAAACATTTCAAATAATCATGTTCAAGTTTTCTGGATTTGCATACTATTTTGCCCATTGCTTTAGTTCTATCTTATTTAACTGTCACAAATTGTACATTGTTACTATAGTTGAATACAGCCAATATGTGTTCAGGTGTGTTTACATTCCTTCTTGCATTTTAGGTCTTGTGGGATTAGTTTTCTAATTTTATCCTTTGGAAATTGCTGGTCTATGGTAATAATCTGTCCCAGTTTTATTTTGTTTTTTGTTTTTTTAATGTCTTTTCTGCCCTCTAAATCAACAGATTTTTTTAAAAAAAGATTTTATTGGGGAATTAGGGGAGAGAACAGTGGTTGGGGGAATCGGGGAAGGGGAACAGACAAGTTGCTGTCCATTTGTTCTTCAGTCTAGTTGTGGAGAACATTGCTTCACTGGCCCATGTTGGTATTGTGGTCATTGCACTCTTCCCGGGTGAGGCAGATCAGTCACTGGCCGTTGGACGGCTGCTCACGGTGGCTCATAGCAGCTCGCGCCAGCTGCCGGCAGCCGGCCACTCATGGTAGCTTACGGCAGCCCACCGACAGCCCACTGCAGCCTACGCCGTCACGGGTGACTCACAGCAGCCCAGCTCCAGGTCGAGCTGTTGTTCACCATCTCAGCTGTAGAGGGCACAGTGTCACTGGCCCATGTGGGATCCAAACCGGGGCCCTGCTGCTCAGAGCTCGCGCTCACAGGCCAACTCTTAACCAACAAGCCACTCGGCCAGCTGAACAGATGTTGTTTTAAAGATATTATTCTACTGACTTCAGGCTTCTATTACTGCTGTTTAGAAATTGGCTGTTATTCTCATTGATGCTCTTTTATTAGTAATCTCTTCTGTCTAGCTGCTGTCAAGTCTCTAGATCTGCAGTGAGATTACCATGTTTAAAAGTGTTTTTCTTTTCTTTTAAAAAATTTACCTTGTTTGTCATGTACTGGGCTTCCTGAACCTGAAACAGCTTTAATTATGGAAGAGCCATTATGTCTTCAAGTATTGCATCTCTCCTACACGTTCTCATCATCTTCATGAAATCTGATCAGACACACTATAAGACATTTCTCACTCTTCTTTAATATGTCTCACTTTTCTAATGCTTTATGCTGTATTATGGGTAATTTCCTTACATCCGTCTTCCAATTCATTAATTAGCATCTTCAACTATGTGTAGCATGCGGTTTAATCCATTGTTTATCACATTTTAATTACCACATTTTTTCATTCCTACAAATTTTACTTGTTTTTGTTTTTTTTTTTCAGATTTGCTTGGTCGTTTTTGATGGTCTCTTGTTCTTTCATTATACTTTCAATATCCCTTTTTAATTTTTTATGATAAACCTATGATGCATATTTGACATACTTTTTTTGGTCTGTGACTGATATTTCCAATAGTTACCATCTTTGATTCTGCACTTTTAAAATTTCTTTTAACTCTCACTCATGGTGTCTCATGTGTGTGTTTAAATTGTGAACTCATGTTCCTCAGTTGCTTATCTCGGAGATTCTTTGAAGCCTGTGTATTAGTGAGTTCTTTGGAGAGAATTTGCATCTGCCCCTGTGTACTGGGGTACTACCAGTGCAGAAGCACTTTGGGCTGGGAATGGTTTTTTTGTGGGGGAGAGGTGCATGGTTGCATCCAGAATATGAATTTCAGTCCCAGACCTTTGTGAGAACAGGTCTGGTGATATCCCCAGGGAGATATTTTTTAGTTTTTTCCACTCTACCCAGAGCCAAGGATGAGACTTGCGAGTGTCCCTGCCACCTCCATCTGCCTGGTGGTGTTTTCTCCCCACATGTGTATCTGCTTTAATCTGATCTCCACCCTGTTTGGATCCTACAGTTTGTCTCTCTTCCCAGCCTCCTGTTTAAATGCCTGTTTCAGTACTGGCTTATCTCTCCGGCTTAAGCTTTCTTGGCATTTCTAGCCTTCAAGGATTTCCCCTCAAAGGCAGACTGCATTATTGGATTATCATTTTAAAAATGATATCCACTGTTTTCTAGTTTTTCTAGGCATCTATTTTGGAATATTGTTAGAAACTGAAGCCCCAGTGGTGTATTTATGCAGGCATTTTCATCTTTCATACCCAGCAATACTGATGGAAAAAAAGTGTCTCACAGATTACCCAATTGGTCACTTTCTGTGATTAAGGCCACAGGCTCCTTGAGACATAAAAATGCAGAAAACTTACCTAAGAGATTACCTTTGAGAAGAGGAGGAAGGAGTGGTAAAAAAAAAAAAAAAAAAGAAGAAAAATGTCTGTTTGAAACTATCTAATTCTCTTTTTAAGGGATTTTATAATGACAATATTTTGGAGTGGTGATAATAAAAAGACTCAACACTTAATATTTTATTCTTTTTAGGGTATCTGTCTCACTACATATTTTACTAATTTTCCAGTTAAGACTTGCCATTTCATTGAAGGAGAGTGTGTTTGAAAGTAGGTGGCATACTGTTCCTAAAAAGCATCGACTCTTTTTGGTATATTCAAAGTGTAAGCTGGACTTTATATATTGAGCTATTTTGAATTATAGTTTTATTTCTAGTATTGAAATGTTTGTGGTTTTAATCAACTTGGTTTTGCTTCTTTTCAAACAGGCCCCAGGCATGGAAGAACTGATATGGGAACAGTACACTGTGACCCTACAGAAGGTGAGTGCCACACGTCTCATGTGTGCTGCAGCCATGTTCCTGAGCTCCCAGATCATGGCTCTTGTTTCTTGTTGCCCCGACGCAGTGTCTTTCCCCTTGAGGTGGATAATACTTTATAGGTACTGTCTGGCAATAATTACCACATTAACAAAGGTTGTTTGCATGCTGTTACTTTTTGTTTTTGGTTAAGGTCTCTATAATATAGAAAAATTCATATGTTATATAGGTTAAATTTTAATTATAACTTACCACCCCCTACTTGAGTTTTAAGTCCAAACTAAATTTTAAAACTTTAATTTAGCGATCAGGTGACATGGATTGTTTTCTTTGTCCCATTCCTGATTATATTAAGAGGTATCAAGTTAATCAGATTTTTGGACATACTCCCCCAGTGGGATTGAAAGTAGAAGTTATGCCACATGTAAATATATTTTCCTTTGTTTTTAGAGTCATTTCACAGGTATTGCCCCTCTTGATTAAATGAAGTGATACAAACAGCTTCCAGTACAGGGAGTCCAGCACATAATCGTTGCTTAATGTTAGCTCTGTGCCTTTTTATTCTGACAGCAAAGTTCGAGGTAGGCACGCTAGGTGTGAGCGCCGCTCCAAACAAGTGTAGCCACCAACAGACAGTGTGTGAGTGATTTGTGTGCAGCTGAGCTGGGCTAGAACTTATGGTCCCCAAGTTTTATTTCCATCAAGCTGCCTTGGTCAGCATCTCTGTGATCCTCCTGGGCCGTGAAGAGGTCTTATTCCTGCACTGAATCCCTCCAGCCTATGTCGCTTCCTAGAAGGATTATAAATTCCTTATATGGAGTCTTCCTTCTTCAACTTCGGGCCCTATCTTCAGTGAAAATTTGGTTTCTGAATCAATATGTATTAAATTAATCCAGATAGAAAAAAACAGATCAGTGCTCAGGTGCTGGAACTTCTGGGGCGATAATCAGTTTCTTCAGTTAGGGGTCCCCCCCTCCGTAGGTCTTATTTTTCAGTTCTAGTCATCTTGTGATGCTTCTTTGATGCCCCTTCCGCCAGCATTTCACGTGCCCTTTGAGTCATGGACCCCAAAACGGCAAAAGTGAAAGACATTTTAGGCCTAGTATAGAAGATGGAGTTACCTCTGCATAAAAAACCAGGTACCAGGTGATGGTGCTGCCAAAACCAAAGTCATTCAATTAATGGACAACAATCCAGCCTGTTTTACGTTGATTATTGATAGTCATCAGTGGACATAGTGGGCCCCATATGGGAACTTTTCCTGGAGGGAAAGTTTTCTTTTATTCTCTGAGTAGATTTTTATATACCGTATTTGCCGGCGTATAAGACGACTGGGCGTATAAGACGACCCCCTAACATTTCCACTCAAAATACAGAGTTTGTTATATAATCGCCGTATAAGACTACCCCCTCTTCCGCACACCTTCCACACACCAAATAAAAGGTAAAACAATATCAGATTTGATTTGGCCCACTGAAGTGCAA